CTCCTTGCAGGCCAAGGCTGGTTCTGTGCTGTGCGGGCATGAGGCGCTAAGCTATCCCCCCCCCCCCCCCCCCCGTCACACCCCATTGCCCCAGGATAAGCAGTCCAAAGTAGGCTACAGACGTTAGCAAGTATTACTCCTCCTGGGAAGGCACCAGGAGAGTTGAGGCACAGAGAGGTGTGGCCCCGGGGAAGAGTCACACAGCAGAACAGTGGTGGGGCAAGAAAAGGGCTGCAGGCTCTCACCTTGCCACCCTGTGACTGTGCCCCTTGGGACCTGTACTACTGAGTGACAGGCACATCATAGCAAAGGTCAGTTAGCAGTCGCGGGCATTTCCTTGTGCCAGATGCTGAAGTTATCCCTACACTTGGGGCAGCTGTCGCTGACTGAACTTGGCTGCCCCGGTCCTAGGGTCACAGTGGCTGTCATTCCAGTGACAGCAGATTGGGAATGCTGTTTCCATGTTCCACCAGGCCCACCTGTCCCCTGTCCTCTGCGGGGAGCATCTTCCCTTGGCTGTCCCCATGGGACACAAACGAGGGCTTCCATCGCCTCCCCAAAGAGAGAGTTAGTTAGTGACCCTGGTCAGAGCCCACTTCCCAGGAAGGAAGGCTGAGGAGGCTGCTGCCCAGTGCCCAGTGGCTGTTATTGCAGATGTCATCCCTGCCACCTGCTGTTGCTGCCTGCTGCAGGTTTTGTCCACGTGCCAGGTGCTGGGCTGCTGGGAGTCCCCTGCTGACCTGTCGAGGGGACTTGGGACTCATCGGCCCCTTTGCAACATGTTGGCTCTGTGGCAGCCGTGGGAGGAGCTGCATGTCCTGTGACACGTCCTCACCTGTCTCCTGCCGAGCGGAAGAGTCCGTGACTGCCTGAGACAGGCACAGCCGCAGCCTGAGGTCGTGCTGTACATGGAGGCAGAGCCCAGGCCTGTCCGTGTGGAGTCTGGGGGAGCTACTCATCCGTCACACATTGGTGGCCTCCAGGCCATTGCAGCCGTCCAGGCCACACCGCTCCGGCCCGCCCTGGGGGTCCTCGTCTCCGCAGTCTTCGTTTTGAAGAGAGCCATAGTCATCATGGAAATCGAGGTCTTTGCCACTGAAACCTCGTCCTATCTTCCCCAGGGGCAGCTGAGAAAATGACAAGAATGAACCCGAAGGACAGGAGGAAGAGAGGCAGGCACTGAGATGCGTGAACAGCGCTGTGTGATCTCGGGTGGCTGCCTTAACCTCTCTTTGTTCCTCCTCTTAGTAATGTGACGCCACAGCATGGGGAGACTGAGTGGATTTTGTGAATTAAAATTCAGAGACTTTAGGGTTCCCAAATGGTAGGGAATACTGCTGGGCAGATGGCAGGGGTGTGGGGCCCAGCTGCGTGCCTGAGTCCTGAGGGGATGTGCTGGCACTAACTGCTACAGCGAGGGTTGGAGGCTGTTGTTTGGGTTTCTGCTTTGTCACCTCCAGCTGTGTGACCTTAGGGAATAAGTCACCTCTCTCTGAGCCTCCATATTCTCAGGTACAAAATGGGGACAGTGGATGGCTGTGACGGCTTGTGCTGTGAACCTAGCACTCAGGGAGGCTGAGGCAGGAGGACTGCAAGTTCAAGCCTGGCCCGGGCAACTTAGAGCCTATTTCAGAGTGAAACGATTTCACAAGGGCTGGGATGCAGCTCAGTGTGAAGGTACTGGGTTCAGTCCTTAATGTCCCCTACCCCATGAGCCGCAGCACCCTAGGAATGTGGGAGTGTGTGCGGCGTGTGTGGGTCTGTGCTAGTGAGGGACAGTGAGGTAGGTGTCCAACCATCTGCCCCAGAGCACCATTTTGGGGTGATGTTGCCCCCACTTGCATGAAGGCCCTGAGTGCAGACGGGGCTCTCCATCTGTCCCCCATCTATTCTGGGCCCAGGACTCCTGAGGGACCCTGCTCTACCCCATATCCAATGCATCTCCTTAGGGTCAGACTGGGTGACATGTGTCCTCCTGCCATTGGCTTTGGCCACCACGGGCTCAGCCCTTACTGTTGGTCTGATCACTGGAGTTCAGAATCAAAGTCAGTGGTTCTCAGAGTTTGGGGGGCCGGTCACTGGATGCCTGCAGGTGCCCCTCCTCACCCCAGGAGTTGCTTCAGTAAAGGGGGTGTGGTCCCCAGGATCTGCAGTGGCCCCAGTGGCTCTGACACAGCAGCTGAGACCTGTGCTCTGCAGGATGAAATTCTAAGTCTGTAGGGACCTGGCTCACCAGCCAAAGCATCCTGCAGCTCCCATGACAGTAGCACCAGAGCTTGTCTCACAGTTGTGCCTGTGACCCGGCATCTGGATCCACCTTCATAGGCCAACCAAGGAATTACAGTGAGGGGACACTTGGGTCCCAGGACAGCATGACTCTCCCTAGGGACAGGATCCCCAGATGCACTTGGTCACTCACCCGGCCAGCCTTGTACTTGAGGCCAGCGCTGTTCTCTTCCTTCCCTGCCCGGGTGACGCTGGAGGCCCTGCGGGGTGGTGTCCCAAGGCGCTCAGCCTCCCGGCTGCCTATGGAGCTGGGGACACAAGGATTTCAGTCGGCAGGGGAGGTTCAGCTAATGCTGCCACCCAGCCACTGACCACCCCCACGTGCTGATGGCAATGACACCATGCAGAGTCCTGCTACCAGGTGTCTTGTGGCAGCTCAGCACTTTGTAGCCTCTGCTATGGGCCAGGACATGGCGACTGCCAGCCCTGCGTACAGACAGGAAGAGGAAGCACAAGGAGCGGGAGCAGTTTGACCAAAATGACACAGCTGCTGGTGGTGGCAGAGCCCAGATCCAAGCCTGAGACTCCAAAGTCTTGTTGATGACCCCAGAATGCTGTAAATCTGGTTGAAAAAAAGGGAGACAGCATAGGAGGGCCTGTCTGATGTGTAGCCAACTCCGGTGGGATGTGCGAAGCAACAGGAACGGTCCCCCCACTTGAAATCCGTGTCCCCCACCTGGCCAGGTGCCTGAAGTGATGCATATTCACATCTGGAGCAGGATGGAGGGTGCAGGGACAGCCCCAGCTGGCTGATCTTTGACAAAGGGGCCTCTGTAACCAATGGCGTCTCTGTCACAAACCGGCTACCCGCTTGCAGGAGATTGAAGCTAGACCCCTAACTCTCACCAGGTACTGAGCTAAAAATCAAAACGGAACCAAGATCTAAGTGTTAAAGCAGAAACAATTTTCTGGAAGATAAAAATAAGTAAAAGACATTGGTGTAGGCAAAGAGTTTTTGAACATAATCGAACTGCATAAGAAGTGGCGCCAAGAATCGACAAACGGGATCGCATCAAATTCTGCAGAGCGAAGGAAATAATCAACACTGAAGAGACAGCCTGCAGGATGGGGACAGTGTCTCCTGCTATTCCTCAGGCACAGGATTGATATATAGAGTGTATAAAGGACTCAAAAAATTAGATGCCCCCCAAATAGAAGACCCAATTAAAAAAACAAACAAACAACAAAAACAAAAACAAAAACAAACAAACAAAAAAACCCTCCAGCCAAATGAAATGAACAGACACTTCTCAGAAGAACTACAAATGGCCACTACATTCATGAGCTACTAGAGACATGCAAATGAGAGCCACTGGGATTCTGTCTCCCTGCAGCAAGAACTGCAGCGTCAAGAAACCGACCGATAACCAATGGGGGTGAGGCTGCGGGAAAAGGGGAGCCTTCCTGCTTCATCGTTGGTGGAAATGCCAATTGGTGTGACCACTGTCGAAAGCAGTGTGGAAAGTCTTCAGAAAGTTACCGCTGGAAATTCCATGGGATGAATTATTTCCTTTGTACATATCTTCCCCAAAGAGTCAGACATCCCATTACAGTGACATGTGCACCCATGCTTCTGGCAGCACAACTTGTAATGACTGAACCCGGAAGGCAGCCTGTATACCTGCCAGCGGATAAAAGGATAGAGAACATGTGGTATTTATGCGTGGTAGGGTACTACTCTGCCACGAAGAAGGATAAGCTGGAATTATTTGTAGAAAAATGGGTGCATGTTGGGACCATAATGTTAAATGAAATAAATCAGATTCACAGCCTTAAACATTCTGTGACTTCTTTTATGCAGCAAACTCAACATAACTAAACAGCAAAATAAAAGAATAGGGGCTGGAGAGATGGCTCAGTGGTCTAAAGCACCTACTTGAAACAAGCTTGGCAAAGCACAGGGACCGCGGTTCAATCCCCCAGCACCACATGCCAGCCAGCCCCGCCCCCTGGTGGGCTGAGCTGGCCACACACACACACAATAAATAAATGTAATAAATAAAAATAAATAAATATTTAAAAAAAAAAAAAAGGCAAAAAAAAAAATAAAAGAATAGATAATAGGAAATAGAGAGGGCAAATGAGAAGGGGACCAAGAGGGGGAGGGAGTGGCAACAAAGAATGTGGGTGCAAAAAGAAAGGTGTTCCAGCCCCGACTCCCCTCAAGGAATGGCACCATGACATACTGCAAATATGTACTAATAAAAAATAAAAGCGAAACCCTGATGCGTATTAACATTTAAACAGACCACAGGCAAATCAGCTTTGGCTACGGGCAGTCGGGAGAAGTGACTCTTCCGACATTTTCTAAGCTGCTGCTGCAGTCTGGCTGTGTGCTGCCCACCAAAGGCCTTCAGCCTGGGTCCGGTGGAAGAAGATGGGACCACGAAGGGGAGGGGCCTAGCGGACGTGAGTAGGTGTTTGGGGGCGTGGCCTTGAAGCGGATGCAGGATGCCCTCCCTCCCTCTCCCTCTTCTCTTCCCTGCGGCGAGGTGAGATACCTCCAACACGGTGCACCTACCGAGCTGAAAGCAATGGGTCAGGTTGTGGAATGGACCCTCTGAACCTGGGAGCCCTAGTAACCCTTTTCTCTTTCTAAGCTGACTCTGAGATGCTGGTTACAGCAACCAAAAGCTAAGTAGCTACTGTAGCTCAGAGGTTCTGCCGCGGTTGGGGCAGATTTTGCAGGGAAAGATCAAGGGCAGCGCGGCATGTGTAGGTGCTCAGAGAACGTGTTCTGAGCCCACGGCCAGCGGCCCCGTGCACCAGGGCAGCCTGGCTACTCAGAGGTTAGCAGCAGCCGGTTGATCTTGTCTTCGCTCCTCTCTCCCCCAGACGGAGGGTGCTCTCACCACAGAAGCCACGGAGATGCAGCCTTCCTTCTGCATGCCCTCTTGTGTGGCAGAATGTTACACACCCCTGACTCTGGGAGAGGAGAGGCCACGTGTGTCGGGGACTGGCCCAAGGTCCCTTCCCTCACCTTCCAGGAAAAGACACGGAAGCCCCAAGGGGTGCAAGCCTTACTTACAGGTCCTCAGGCTGCAGAGTGGCTGGCGTGGAGACTGAACTCAGACTCAGGCTGGGACTGAGAACTGGACCACAGGTTCCCACCCTGGGGTCTGGCAGGCCAGGCTGCTGTGCAGGCGCTGCTTCAGTACCCGGCTCTGCCCACTTCCGGATCCTGGTCTGTGTGCACCACAGTGCTGGCTCCCACGACCTCCAGCCTATGCTTCTAGCATAGTGGGTCAGACCCAGAATCCACAAGGTGGAGTGGCCCGGGCCAGGTTGGTGCCACACAGAGGTGCCACGGAGCAGGAAGGGAGGTGGAAGGCGCACAGCCCTTGCAGCTGGGCTGGCCTGGGACCAGGCTTGCCCTTTGGAGCTGGGCCTCTGGGGCACTCCATGGGCACCACGCTGCCTGCTCTGCTGCCCACAGGGATGGGATTAGTGACGCTCAGCACAGTCCTGTTCCTTCTGAAATCCCCCAGAGCAGAGGCGTAGTGGGCACCGAGCCCTCAAAGGCACTGCTGGGTCCCACGGCACAAGGCCACCCACCCCCACCTGGGCCCCCACTCTAGAGACTATTTGGAGACCAGTCATGGAACACCTTGGTCTAGTGGTGCCCTCCCACCTGCGCTGTGACGCAGGGACCCCACTGCCTGTGTCTGGCACCTGTGGGACACGGGAAACCCGACTGCCCAGGGCTGGGACATGACACTGCGTTATCTTGTCCAGTGACCCTGGAGCCCAGCATCTGCATTCATGACAGGATCGCACTTCCCCACTGAGACACCAGCACGCAGTGCCACAAACCCACAATGGCAGCCTCTGTGGTGGGCTCGGGATAGTTGTCCCTGGTATTCATGTTACTGTGTACTCTATGCTGAACCCCTACTCTGGCTAGTGACATCACAAGTCACTGTACATCTTGGGTTGCCAGATACTGATTAGGAGCCTTATTTTACAGGTGAGGAAAGTATGGTTCAGAGAGGTTAGATAATTTGTCTGAGGTTAAACAGCCAGAGTTGGTGCTGCTAGGATTTGGACCCACACTGCCTGTGCTGACGTGGCACGAGATTTTCTGGGTGTGTATCTACGCATAAGTTCCTGTTAACCCAGTTTTTGCCTGGCTGGAGAACCAAAGCCTTTGTGGATAAGCAAAGCCATAAGAAAGGGGAGGGCTGGCCAAATAGCTTAGTGGATTAAAACGCCTGCAAGCAGGTGCAGGGGCCAGGGGTTCGATCCCCGCCAGTCCCACCCTCCGGGTACACTGAGGTGATTGAGACTGGGCGTGGTAGCGCATGTCTGTAATTCTAGCTCTTGGGAGGCTGTAAACAGATGGATCACTAGGAGTCTGATTTAGTAGTGAGACCCTGAACACCCAGTAGATCCTTTCCTAAAAACAAACAAACAAAAACAAAAGCAAAGAAAGAAAGAAAGAAAGAAAGAAAGAAAGAAAGAAAGAAAGAAAGAAAGAAAGAAAGAAAGAAAAAGAAAGAAAAGGGAAGCTGAGAGATGACCTGGGCTGGGTCTCCCAGGTCATTTGCCTCTGAGGGCCTCTCCCCTCTGTAAGTGGCCTGAGTCCAGGATATGCTTTGAGGCTACTGAGGGACCCTCTATCCCAGCCTGGATCTCAGGAGAGAGAGGGGTGCAGATGTCTGGGTTGTATTCCTGCCTGGCTTGCTGTGTGACCCCGTGTCATGTGATGGCCCTCTCTGGGCTTCTGTTCTTTGGGTATAATAGAGCCAGCAGGCTGGCTAGGAAATCTCCATTCTCTTCCGTCCTGGGGTTCATGAAATCCAAGTCAGTGCTGTGTTAAAAGTGGTTGGGGTGGGTGGGATGACCCGGACTTGTGGGATTGTGTAGCTTCGCTGAGTGATGACAGGTGGCCAGTGGGAAGGGGGCAGCAATGGATCCTGACAGCCTGATAAATCACTGAGGGACTTGGCTTAGGCATGGACCAGACATGGAGGACATGGCTGGTCCCGCAGAGGCATGTGAGGTTCTGACTGTCCTGCTGCCCCTGCAGTCCCTGTGCCCACCCGCCACCTTCTGGGTGGGGGACGAGTGAGAGTGGGGCCACTGAGGTTATCTTGGGGGTGAAGCGATGTTTACGAAAGGGTTGAGAAGCAGAGAGAGAAACAGAGAGGAGAGGAGAGACACATAAAGTCAGCTAGAGGGACAGAGACAGGAAGACAGAGAAGCCGGGAGTTGGCCATGGGTCAGTGACTGGCCGTGCCCTGGCAGAGCCCACTGGGCCATGATCCTCCACCATCTGGGCCTCTCTCCCAGCCATCAGGAAGACAATAAAGTGTTGCCTTTGAGCCCCAGTCCACCATGCATCAGCTGATGGCCCAAGCAAGAGGAGCCATCTTTTTTAATTTTTAATTTTTTGATACAGGGTCTTACTACACAGCTCAGACTCATAGTGAATCTCCTCCACAGCCTAACTGAATCCAAAGGGATGAGGGGTGGAACCTGCCCTGTCACTGTCTTTGCATTGAGGAGGGGACCCATGGGCCACAAGGCGAATGCCAGGGTTGGGCACCATTTCTCTCAACCCCTCTGTTGCCCCAGAAGATGCCCCTAGAAGGGCCCTGCTCCTCCTGCATCCTTCCAGGCCATCTTCCCTAGCCCTGTCCCTGGGTTGACACATACTTGGTGCTCGACAGAGGTTTGTGGGAAGAAGCAGGAAGCCTGAGTGTATCAAAGCAGACACCAGGAGCAACGTCAGACCCCTTGCCTCCTCCTCCATCACCAGGTCAGCTGAGTTGCCATGGTAATGGGAGGAGGTGGGAAAAGATGATGTCATAGGGGCCCTGTAAACTGGTTGACCGAGCCTTCCCTGGGTCTATCACCCACAGTCCTGATATTACCTGACTTCCTGCATGGACCACAATTTATGGTGACTGGAATCCTACAGCTCCTCAGGCCCAACCTATCCTCCTCCCTCCTGCTTCAGTGACCACAGCTCTCAGGAGACACCCCTGTTAGGGCATGGGGGCTGGTACTCAGGGTAGAAGCTCACTGGATGTGGATTCTTGCTGGCCTGTGATGCCTATCATGTCCCCAAAAGTTACCACACCTCTCATGGGTCTCAGTAGTCTCTTCTATAAAATGGGGTAGGGCCGGCCAAATAGCTCAGCGGATTAAAGCGCCTGCAAGCAGGTGCAGGGGCCAGGGGCATGCTGAGATGGCAATTGAGGCTGGGCATGGTAGTG